TCACGAGTTAGATCATCAATTGGATGATAACGGATAAATGTTGAGTCCATTCGACCATTACATGATTTCTGATTTCCGAGGAAACTAAAAACGGCAAACACGCGGATGTCGGCATCTGTTCCTTGGGTCTCTTTGAAATCAGTCAACAGTGAGCAACCATAAAAAGCAAACACAAATGCGCAGACAAAATCGGGGGTATACCTCCCTCCGGACGATTGTCGTTTAAGGCAACAAAGTTGGGTTTGTCAGTCTGTTCCTGGTTCTTGTGGGAAAGAACTTTCACCCAATGAGCTTCAAGTAAAATAATGTTACAGTTATTTTATTAGGGCCGACTAACACAATGGCTCGGCACCTTGATCAAACCAGATGTTCCAGTCTGTTTGTTTGAATGTTATTGTCTCAAACTCGTCCCTATTTATAATTCCTCCTATGCGACCAAAAATCATTTTTAACTTCGTAAAAGGCAGTGTCTTCCTAAAACTGTGTTTCGGTTTCAGCCATACTGACTCCCTCTCTCTCATTTCTAACTTACAAAAAGACGTAAGAAAATGATTTCATTGTCGAAAAGTTTGCCTTGTTGACCTAGTGAGTCTAATCCACGCAAGAGTACGTCATCGGCAAGTGAAAACTGGATGCGAAGAAAGTCTTTCTTATCGGATGAGCTTTGATGCGGCGGTAGTATCGCAGGGGGTTAGGGGAGTTAAACACTACCAACTACGATCTTCAGACCGTGGTTCCTCAGGAGAGAAGAAACCGGTGGAGGCCAGAATAGTAAGAATAGTTTATTCTGTAAACAGTGGAACGGAGAATAAGCAGGAAGAAGCTTGGCTTCGGAGCGCACGACCAGCCAGGAAGCAAGCCGGGTCCTAAGGCCCGGTTTAGCAGCAGGCATGCCAGCGGCCAGCGGTCACTGAGGGGGTCTGCCTACGCGTGCAGACGTGTGATTCGTTGCTGAGCCAGGGACCAGCTTTGCGGCATCTGTGTTTGGCTGTTCTCAGAAATCGAGAACAGCCGCCGTAAGGTTTGGCAAAGTTCGCTTCGACGCGAGCTACTCACGACAGTAGTTCTACTCTGCCCCATGCCTATTACGTCGGCTGACACGATAGTAGACTGAGTCAGCAACCCAGCGGAAGTTATAGCATCCCGTATGCCCAGAGGGGGCGTTGTATCGCCTGACCTGTTATACGCCGGGAAACCAGGACCGAGATGTCAGGGAGCACAGGCAGTCATAGATATTGGAAGGATCTTTCGCTGATTGAACATGCTAACGCGCCGAGGCCATACGGAGAAGACCATGACTTTGCTGTCAACGGTTTTTTTTTTTAACTGCAAATTTCTGTTTACCACTCCACCGGTTGTTTATTTTTCTAGCTTGTCCCAGGAGGAAGCCTTGTCCACAACTGCGCCAGTTACGGTACACGACTCCTGACGTGTCATTTCATTTAAATCGGTTCTTTTTGGCCGTATGACTTAAAGCTAGTTTATTGCCTTCGACCAGTGCGCCGATTCGCGTTTGACTAAAATGAAAATGAGGCTCGCTTTTTCAATATTATTTGGCTTTGTGGAGGCCGACTCCCTTTTTTGTTTACACCTGTTGATGAAGCTACTCAAAGAGTGTCACTAGATTAGACCGCTTACTGCATGAATGCAACATCATAACGCAGTTATTGTGACAATTTTTTTAAAATTCAGTGACCTCCGTCCGTCCTGTTCTCTCTTTAACAGCGACAGCAGCCCACAGTAGTATACGCTGGGTTCAGGCCATAGCGCAAAGTTTTCATAATTTCCGAAAGAGACGTGCTATTCCTTCGTTACCGTCTTGCTTCAGGCAAAGTAAGCTGGTAAGGCGGTACAAAAAGCCAACGCCCGCATTATGCTGTCTTCTCCGCCTTGGAATAAGGTCATCGCCGTCAATCATCCATGTCACGGAGAGGTCAGACGGCCACATCACCATGTACACAAAATGTCCTCCCTAGAGTTTCCTTTGCATCACTTTGGATTGGGGAAAATAAAACGTCGTATTCATGGGCGTACGGAATATAATAATCCACCGTTATAATGTTGGATAGGGAAGATATGTAATCCATTATATTGGAAGGCAGACATCTCAATAAAAATAATTTAAAAGCAAGTATGTTCTCCGGAAAAAAAATAAGGAAAACCTGTTGGGTAAATTGTCGACGCTGGCTCCCCAGGTCATCGGCAGACTTGATTAAATGTGGCAGAACAGTTAACATTTCAAACGTGCTTAAATAAACGATACCCATTTGCTGTTTGCACCAATAAGTGGTCGCCGTGTGCTTCAGCAAGTGTTGATTTGTGCTCATCTCTTCCAGTATACGTAAGGGTAATAGGTAGTGCCCTTATCAAACTGCACTTTCTACTCTGTTCACTCACACTGCCTTATTTCTTCTGGGCTTCTGCAGGTACATGTACTTAAACCACGTTTAACTAACAGAAAGGTTTTTTTTAGTTCGACATGCATAATCATAAAAAAATAGTACGCTCACTTCACAATTACCAATTTATTATTGGAATCTAAGGTATGCGGGAGAGAGATACGCTTTGCTTTGAAAATATAATTCCAACGAAGTATTGATACTCTTTCACTAATCGGCATTGAGTAAGGTTGTAATACTGATTAGCGTATAGTCTATTTAGAAGTCAGTTCAGTCACGATAGGATGCCGGCTTTCTAACGAGCTTCCTTATGACGGCCAACAAAACATATTTACTCGAAAAAGTAGCAACTTATCATTGATTTTTACTGCCTTTATAATTTCAAATATATTTTATGGAAAACATAAACGAAAAAAATTATTTCCTGTACTCCTTTGGTAGCATATAAAGCCTCCTTTAAATTTTGTACGTAAAGAAAGGGAAGCTTTCGGTTTTAAAAAAGTTTCTAATTGTGAGCTTTTTTACGATTGTGAAATGTTCATTCATTATAAATCACATCCGTTAATTTATTAATGCTGCCTATAATGTATGCAGCATTTTCCACCTCGGTTGCAAAATTTTATGAGAACTATTTGACTTCTTCTTCAGACGGCAGACAAGGCGTACTTTCCTTTAAACAGCACTCAGTTTGTAAACCTTGAATTCAAGTGTAGCAGTCAGTAGGTTTAAAAATTACTCGGCAATTTAGAAACTTTTTTAAAGCCTAAAGATACCTTTTCTTTAAGTATAAAATTTAAAGGAGACGTAATTTGCATAATACTTAAGTAGCCACTTTTTACAGCGCATACGTTTTGGTGGCGGTCAGAAAGAAGCTCGGTAAAAAGCCGGCATCCTATCGTGACTGAAATAACTTCAGAATAGACTACACGGTAATCAATATCACAACCTAAGTCAATGCCGATTAGCGAAAGAGTACCATTATTTCGCATATGTCGGTATTTTACACAGACTCCGTGTACTAATGAACTCATTGTAGTTCAAATGGACAAAGAGGGTTAAAAAGCGGTTTATAAGGAGCGAAGTAGGCCAACCGACATATGTATAAGAGAATTTATATGCGAATAAGGCGAAGAATGGCGGCTCAATTGAAAACCCTCCGGCTGCTGTTTTGCTAATTCGTAAGGAACGATGGAAAAAAGGAATCCTTGAAAACAACAGCTGCCACATCCATTAAAACTAATAGGAACAGGGCCAATTAATTTTCGGAAGCTCACGACAGTCAGAGCTGTGTTGTTAACTAAATAGTCTTATGGTCTCCATACCTTTGGAAGCAGTGGTTTACAGGTCGAAGTCATCCTCACTTGGTTTTCTGTGTGGACCTTTTTGCGCCCTTAAGGTTAAAGAGGAAAGTAGACAAGTGGTGTGCAGCCCCTCCTCGGAAGAGACCAGAATACGTCTAGCTACAGGCTGAATAACAGTAGCATCCAGAAATCCTGGCCATCACGCCCTGACTAAGTATAAAATATTGCTAGCAAGTTTTCCTGTTTAAAAATACTGAATGAAAAAGTATAAGTTGATAGGGATTTCGCCAAAGTGTGTGGATGGATTGCAAAGCCGAAGAAAT